TTCTACCATCCTAAGGATATATATCAATATATACAAATATGATTTATACAATATATAATAAAATACATTTTATTCATAAATAAACATTATTACAGAGTCAATTTTACAATAACTGATTCGCTCTATGACACCTACGCTAATAGATTGGTGTTGTACAAATCTCTCATGTCTTCTCATTGATTGAGAATTTAAGAAATATCCTTAAATTAAATAGGGCTTGGACAGGTGTGTAAACGAAATTCATTTACAGATAAAACTTGAGTCGGTTGAGTTGTTGACAGCTATACATTCTTTCTGTTCTGAGTGACATGGCAAACTTTGGATGGTGCAAAACTTTCTTGAATTCTGATTAGTGCTGACTAATCTCAGCTTATGTCAACCTTGATTTTTAGGCATAACAAAAATGAACCAAATAATTTAAGCAGTTCGATCGATGGAACTAACGTATGCATAATGACATCATCTCTAGTTCCGGATGATGTTTTAGATTAATGTGTGTAGAATTCCAGGCAGAAATGAATAATATATTTCTAAGTCCCTTCGTAGTCTGCAAGGAAGTTGCATAACTTTGACCGTGAATAGTCTGAGGCTGCGTCTTACTGTAGTTGCATGTAATGCATGCATCTTGTTTTATCAGAACGTTGAAACATATATAATGAATGCAAATGGATGAAATTAATCTGGCGGCGCTGTAGATTTAGCATCTTGTATATATATAAGCTAAAATATATGTTAATTAATTGAGATTTAATCAATCCATAGATAACACTAAACTATATACAGCTAATTTATATTATAATTAATCACAATATCTCAGAAATCATCACTCAAGAAGAAAAGTCTCCCTGACCCCCCATCTTTCCTCCTCTCATTTCTAGTAATTTCCAAGTTATGGATTGATTATTAATGAATGGATGATGACACATATTATATTACTCACATAATCCTTTACCATTTTGTTAAACTATGTACGTAGCTTTGATGTGCGTAATAAATTAGTAAATTAAAGTGAGAACGTGGTCTCCACACGCTAATAATTAATAATTAGAGAGCATTATCAACACTTTAAGCTAGAGACACAGAACTTTAATGGAAATTAATATATACAGATTGAAAATTGTATGGAAAGTTTATAACAAATAAAGTGATCTCTTTCCAATAATCTGAATTATTCATTAAGATATCGATGAAACAATATTATTAGACTAATTCTTTGTTAATATTATTCAGTATACTATATACTCTCGAATGTGAATCCTGAAATTGTGACAGTGGGAATGTATGTAAATGAAGAAACAATATGGAGTTTGAAAGGTGGCTGATAAACTTTAAGCAATTTCCTTCATCTTCTTGATATAGTCTCCTACACTTAGTTTCCTTTTTGTGTTGTCTGAAGAAGATTTTGAGGTGTAAGGATCTGGCTTTTGAGTCTGTGATGAACTCATTTTCCAACACAAACCAAATCTCAGTGGCACTTCAGCATTTTGACACATTCCTAAACATACCTTCTGAGATTGACGCTGAAAGCCAATTGACTAAAAATTTATCAGTTCTCTTCCACAATATGTAGGTTGGATTCAATTGCTCATTCATAGAAACACTACTTGCCCTAACTTCACAACTAGTTTGACCTAGGTCATGTTCAATTCCTGAATCAGAAATTAAGAGGGGTAAGGGACATAGAACTCTACTGAGAAGGTGATCTTCAAGCTCAAGAGAGCCTACTGTAAACAGAACTTGAGAGCTCCAAAATCGGTAGTTACTTTGAGTTAACTTTGGATTTATGACTTGTAAACTTGTTGTTAGAGCTACAGTAGGTCGATTGATTGATTGTTTCAACATCTCATTTGAGTTGTTGAGAACATCGGAGGATCTTGCAGAGTTCGCCATTGACACAAGTATGGCTCTAATACCATGAAAAGAAGTAATTGTGAACATAAGAAAAACAGAGAAACAGCAAGAAGAAACGAAAAATCTTTTACTGATTTAGTAAAGTGTAACTAACTGTAGAGAAGGAGTACGAAAACAGTATATATATTCAGTAGCTTTTATTAGGGGTGTTCGATTCCAAGTACTCTGCATTTTTTGAAGGAACCAGAACCGACGGTTCCTTGAAATTTGGAACTAGAACCAAAACCTATAACAACGGTTCCTGTTCTGGTTCCTGTTCTGGGTATCCTATAAAATAACAACCCCCAAAAGTTTTTAAAATTGCAAAAAAAAACCCTTAAAAACTTACAAATACCCCCTTGGCACTTGTTAGGAAAAATGAAATTACAAATTATAAATTCAAAATTACAAACTCCATTACTTTGTAAAGGTAGATTCTCAAAAGTCAAACTAACTTACTTTAAATGTTATGAAATATAAATATAAATGTATTCAAAATTACAAACTCCATTACTTTGTAAAGGTAGATTCTCAAAAGTCAAACTAACTTACTTTAAATGTTATGAAATATAAATATAATGTCTTCACATTACTTTTTCTATATAAGTTTTTATTAATCCCCTACTCTTTAATTTTATTTTATATGAGTCTCGGTTCTTGATTCTGGTTCTGGTTCCTACTGTAGGAACCAGAACCGTACAGTAACGGTTTCAAAAATTTAGAATCGAAACTTACCCGTTGACAGCCGGTTCTGGGTAGGAACTGGAGCCAAACCCCGGGTACCTGTCAATTCTGGTTCCAATCGGTTCTTTTGAACACCCCTAGCTTTTATCACTATAAACGTCAGTGTATTCATGTAGCTAACATTTCTACTTAAAACGGCAGCACCTCATTCTTCATTCTTCTTATTAAAACGGCAGCACTTGGACTTTGACTTTTCTACTCAATAGGGTTATCTGTTTTAAAGTCTTGTTCATTTGATCTGCAAAAGCAATTGTCACCAGACCTATAGTAGCTCCCCTAAACACATGTTGTTTACTATCAGTCTTAAACTCCATCTATGAATTTTTGGAACCTACCCAATTGGATCTAACTCAGCCAACCATTGTATTCCCAACACTAGATCACATCCACCCAAGGGTAATAATCTCATATCTGCTTGAAACTCACTTCCTTGCATGTTCCGTTTAAGTTGGTGGCACAAAGAATTGCTCAAAATTTTCGTTCCATAAGTCATAACTACCCAAAATGGACTAGTTTTGTATGTTAAAAAACTATTTCTTTTGGCTAACAATGGATCTAGAAAATTGTGTACTGCCCGAATCAATTAAAATTATAATATTATTTTTTTAATGTTACCTTAAATTCTCATTGTTTGATGTGCTACTGTTCTAATGAGAGCATGAACTTAGATTATAGGCTCTTCTTTTTAGTTCTCTTCAGTTTCATTCTCTTCTACAAATTCTTAAGGTTGATCAACTTTCAGTAATCAAATCTACTTCTTTTTACAAACATGACCAATTACGTACTTCTAATTACAATAATAACTCAGTTTTTTATTCCTTCATTCTTGTATCTCTGCTGTTGATATCTGCATAATAAAAGGAATGATTTCTTTTGTCATGGATTTAGTTGTGTAATGGTGCTTGATTGAATTTTTAAAGTAGCTTGAGACTTTTTAATAACTGCCTCCTTTATTTTTTCTTGTAAATTAATATGCCAACTTGATAGCTTGTGAAGGAGAAGTGGACCGAAACATATCAGCATGTTCTTATAGCATCCTTTAGTCCATTAACAAAGCAATTGACGAAGAATTTCTCATTTAAACCTCTAGTTCTCCCCATTAGTAGTCCAAATTACTCTTGGTACTGCCTCACTGTAGTAACTTGCTTGTGCTTAGCTAGTTGCCCCACATAATTATCAAATTCTCCAGGTCCAAATCGTAAAATCAAATCATTAGAGAAAGATTTCTTATTCAATTCTTTTGAACTAGTTTACTATCTTTGGAACCATTATAATGTTTTTCCCTCCAAATGAATTGACGCCAAATTCACCATCATTTATATTTGTATATTGACCCACTTGGATTTTCACCATCATACATAGGAAACTTCAGTTGATTTTCTCTGATGATTGTAATGTTTTTCCCTCCAAATGAATCTTGTATATATATAAACTAAAATATATGTTAATTAATTGAGATTTAATCAATCCATAGATAACACTAAACTATATACAGCTAATTTATATTATAATTAATCACAATATCTCAGAAATCATCACTCAACCAATAAAAGAATTGATTTAAAGATAAGAAGAAAAGTCTCCCTGACCCCCCATCTTTCCTCCTCTCAGTGTCTGGTAATTTCCAAGTTATGGATTGGTTATTAATGAATGGATGATGACACATATTATATTACTCACATCATCTAATTCTTTACCATTTTGTTAAACTACGTACGTAAGTTTGATGTGTGTAATAAATTAGTAAATTAAAGTGAGGACGTGGTCTCCGATTGCTAATAATTAATAATTAGAGAGCATTATCAACACTTTAAGCTAGAGACACAGAACTTTAATGGAAATTAATACATACAGATTGAAAATTGTATGGAAAGTTTATAACAAATAAAGTGATCTCTTTCCAATGATCTAAATTATTCATTAAGATATTGATGAAACAATATTTACATTATCAGACTAATTCTTTGTTAAACATTATTCAGTCTACTATATACTCTCGAACGTGAATCCTGAAATTGTGAGAGTGGGGATGTATGTAAATGAAGAAATAATATGGAGTTTGAATGTGATATGTACTTCTAAATTAAGTAGATGAGAGTTGCACCATTCAGAACATTAATATATAATACACTTCTATTAGATTATATGACGTCTTAATTACAAATTTACTCTCTCGTCGCACCTCTCCCTTCACTCCTCCTTCAGTACTTCTCGTCTTTATACTTATATAGATGATTATATCTACTATACTATAATTATCTATATTATATATATATAACACACACTCAAGGTCTCCCAAAGATCGTAGTGTGTTGTTGTATCCTGCTAACTTTTGGTAGTTCTCTCTTAGTGGGAACCATTCATCTTTATTCTTGTATTTCTTCTAATGTTCGATCCTTGGTTTCTGGCACCAGCTTTGCAATGATAGAACACCAAGACACATACGCTACATAATGAAGAATGTTCCTGAATAATGTAGAAACAAATAAATCAGCAACTTCAACTCAAAACCACTAGGATCTTTTTTATTCTAGTGACAATGATAGAAGAAGTGGGCAATGAGGGAGGCATCACCTGATTGGCTCCAATCACACATAGACGAAAGTGTAGAGACATCCAGGATCCAAGCCACTGACAAGGACAACAAGACTTCCCCTGGACCCTTAATGTTTATAGGAAAAATCTGAACAACAATCCATCATTTAGTACAACCATTAAAGTTTTGTTTGTCTCAAAAGCTGAGAAAATACTATGCATTACCTCTGACATTATAACCGGGTACTCCTCCTAGACCAAGTTGAAAAAGTCCCAAAAAACCCTGATTTGCAGAGTCAAACAACAATCCATAAATAAAGACATATCAACGAGGATTATATGAGATCCTGAATTACTAAACATAAATTTCATCTCTCATATTTATCCCCTTTATATACTATAAGTGAATAAGAAAACAAATGCATGAGCAAGCTTCATTACCAATACACCAATAAGGCAAACGAGGCGGTGAGCTCCCTCTCAGCTCCAAGGTCTCCACATGAAAGCAAAAAGTCATTACCAGAAACAACAGCCACAAGGAAAAGAGTAGCAGCTGGCAGGCAGAGGAGGTAAGTAAAGTGGTAATGTATAATATTTGCAATAAACCGAACCTTGAATAGATATCCGACCCCTGTAATGAAAACACCCAAGCAAGATCCCACTGTAGAAATCTGCAACATTTGTAATTCAGCTTTTTTGTTTACTGTTAATAATCAAATTGCAAAATTAAATTAAGATTCTTGTTCATTCTAACCAGTAATAGCGTCTCCTTCCAGCCCTGTCTATCAAGAAAAGTCCCAAAACAGTTGCATAACCTGCAGAGAAACACTATAGCTGAGTTTTAAATCAATCAACAACCCACTAGCTAGAATTACCATATGAGGCTGTAATTAACCTGAACAATAGATGCTATAGTGCCCATCCTGCTCGGAAAGCCTATTGTGAAATAAAAAATTCGGTGTAGTCTTTCTACATTCCATATACTTCTTTAAATCTATCTTAGGGAATAAAAATGATTCACATAGTTTACCAGCATCCTAAAAATGGTGCTGCATAGAACACAAACCAAAATAACCCCCAAATCGTTGGAATACAATCGCCAACTCCAACCTGAAACAGTTTTGAAACATTAATAAAGCAAATAGAATAAGGGATTACCAACTGCTGCAAGATTTGGATGAATGAAGTAAGGTTTACTAACAACGGTGATAAAGATATTTCCGTTGGAACATGTTGAAAAATCCACTTCCTGACATCTGATTAGATATTCTTATGTTCCTGCCAATTCAGAAAAAAAATCCTGTCTCATTTCTGTATCTAAGCTGAGAACGTTAATTTCAAAAAGTTTAAGAAATGTATCTGTGACTTGAAGCTCAGAAAAAGTACTCATGAAACATCTGAAATTTTACTTGGATTTCAGCGGCTTCTAGTGCAACATCAGCATCCGTCCCCCAAGCGCTGTAGAGAACTTCAACATCATTCATTTTACCTACTTTGCCTGCAGACATTGCACTCATTCTTCAGCATATTGTGAAGTACTATAACTAATGGCGCCTAAATTAGTCAATTTGATCTTAACACGTCTTAACTGAAGACACATCTACTTTTTTGAAATAATCCAAACTTTTATAAATTAACAAATATTTCCACTCCATTTGCAGGCGATGTGAAATGCTGCAGTATTACTGAAATTGGTAGCATTTCTTTTCATTTTATATGATTATATCCAAATCAGTTTGGGTAAGACTCACCGCCATCTGGGGGACTCTGGAATGAAGTATAGGCAAGGAAGTTGTGTTAGTCCTGGACAATTCTCGCAAGTAACACATACAAACTAATTTTATTTTTGTAACAATTAGGCATCATTGTATTAGAATCAATCACAGAGCTGTAGAAGTGACCTATAAAGCCAAGTTTGCCAGTTGACAAGAACCGCGAGAAAAAGATTGCCTAACCTATAAACATCTGCAAAATAATCATGCAAACACCTAATCAACCTTGACCATCAACAAATAACAAAGAGGGAACCATTATCAAAATTTTCTAAAATGGGGACATTTATGTACCGGATTTAGCGCAGTAAAAGCACCCCTAACATGCTTAGGAGAAATTTCTGCAACATATGGGAACCTGGATGACAATTATTGCAGTATGACCATTATTAATTAATTTATCACGAAATTGTCAGTTTGAATGGTATAGAAGCTTAGAATAATAATTACGCAATAAGAAGTAAGTCCAATTCCACATCCCAAATAAATCTTCCCAAGTCTAGCCATGTTGCATCCTGTCAACAACATTGAAAAATTTGTATTGTCAATCAAAGCTATCGTGTTAAGGAAAGCTCAAGAACTACCATGCATAAGCCATCAAAATGCACTTCAGTAAAGAACTTTGGTGGAAAAGGAAAGATAAGAAACCTTAGCGTATCATTGAAACCCAACCAGATATGCAATCAATTCTGAAATTCCCATTGCCTGTGTACAACATCATTCATATTAATCACTGATAATGGAAAAGAAAATCTATAAACACTAAGGATCTAGAAACTTACCCATCTTCGCCAATGAAGTCTGCAATTCCCCACTTATAACTGCTCCTAACATTGCTCCAATTGTCAATATTGAGCTGAAAACTGCATACTGAAAAATGTACAAGCATAGTTAATCAGTAACTGTGAAATATTTTACAAAAACTTGTGCTTAAACAAACTTCATTAACCTTAACATCACAGTAACAGTTCAATTAGTGAGTACTGAAACTCACCTGTGCCGTAGTCAGGCCAAGGTCATCAACTATTCCAGACTCAGCCGGCGATGAATATCCCACCTGCAAATCAAATAATTCATCTTCAATATGAAATAATCGCGTTTTCAGATTAATATTATACATAATTAAACTTACCGCATGTCCATAAACATATGAGCCGCAAACGGCAACCAAGCTGCTGAAAACAAGCTTAAAAGTGACAGGCCCTGATGGCTCATGTGGCAGACCACTAGACGCTTCTCCACTTTCCGTCATTATTTTCTTCAAGTCGAATACAAGAAAGAGAGACGGAGCGAGGTTTTGGTGGAATGGGGTTTTGTTACTTAAAAAAAGGAAGTGATGTCGTCACTGCATACTCTTTCTCTCTTCTCTACTCCTAGAAGCCTGCTTCCTTGTTTTGTACCTTTTCGTACACGATTATTCCTCCACTCTTCCCATTTTTATCTTTTCTTAGCAATTAAGAATACAAATTGCGATTCCTATTTTAGAAAATATGAAATGTGCGAACATATTTTAGACAGTTGTGCATGCTGTTGCTGATATGTGGACATGCTGGGAGTCCTTTCTGTTAGCTGCTCCATATGTAAATTTGTACAGGCTGTTTTTTTTATTTGTCGCAAGGCCTGCCCTTTTTGTGCTGCTGGTCTGCTGTTTTAGGCCTTTGCGAGTTTTAGCTCGCTGGTATTCAGGATTGTAAATGCTTGTCTTCTTGTGCTGGTTTTTTTTGATTGGTTCCTGGGAATGTCCAGGGCTCATAAACTCATGTAGAGACTCTCTTTTTGGGGTGTCATTCTTTCATTCTTCATACTATTTCCATTTACCCAAATAATAATAATAATAATAATAATAATGTGCGTACATATTTAAGCATATTGTAATTCCTGTGAGCTTTTGGAAAGCAACTGAAAGTTGGGAGAAAATTCAAGAAAGAATTGTAATTCTATTTGTTGATTCTTGACCACCGAATACAACATACTTCAGTGTATATATATACAGTTAAGTAGTTAAGAGAAGAAGAAGCTAGCTGAAGTTAGCTACTTCAGTTAGCTTCTTCGAAGTACACAGATCAAAATGGCAGCCTATGCAGCAGCAAAGTCAAACTTCACCAGCACAACTCATCAATGTAGCTACTACATATGAACAGTACAATCCTCTGACTTTGGAATTTTATAAAGCAGGTGTTTGGGGCCGGGCCGCGTGAAAATTGAGTGGTTTGTTATCTCTCCATCGCACGTAACTCAAAAACTGTCCAGGCAGCTCTTCCAAAAGTGCTTGAACAACAGCAATTTGTCCTCCTGTACAAAACACAATCAAGTTGTTAACTAAAGCATTATACATTATACCTTGAGAAGAATTTTTATTTCAAGCTCACAAATTAAACTGAGAGTCTTATATCATGGAAACAATCTAATGAAGTAACCAAACAACGTTTGTAACAAGTTCGGCACTTGAAAAACATGTAAAATGTAATAATGGACTAATTTTAAGATGAGAGAGGTGCAATATGCACTCACTTTGAACTTCTCGCATAGGAACAAATTGTACAATGTCTCTCATAGCTACCCGACCTGTAGAACTTTCTAATCGGTTGCCGTTATCAGCATCAAGAATCTGAAAATAAGTAATTGCTTAGACAATGTATAGTAAACTAAATCTTCCATGGGGTAGGTTGAGTTAGAAGAACAACGGTGTAAGACGAAGTCGTAACTATATTTACCATTGTAATGAGCCACACAAAACGAAAACTGATAAGTTAGATTTTAGTTAATTTTTACAACAAAATGAATTCACCACCACCCCTCTTCAAGACTTACTTTATCAACAAAACCCCACAAAAACCAAACCTGAATTGAGATTGAAAGAAATACTTAATCAAGGAGAGATGGATGATTGAGAGAGAGAGGTGGCGACAGTGGGTGAGGGAGGGAGAGAGGGGCTAACAATTGTAGGAAATGGAGGAAGTAGCAGCAGATGTGGGTGAGGGATGGAAAGAGGACCGATGATTGTGGGAGATGGAAGAGGGAGCGGCAGCTGTTTCCGTGAAGGACAGGGAGAGGGGCGGCAATGGCAGTGGAAGACAAAAAGGTGAAAAACTGAAAAAGGAGGGCTACGATTTTAAAACTTGTAGGGTTTTAGGTTGTTTAAATTTTGAAGTTTTTAGTTTTTTTTTTTAATTAATTATTTACTTATTTTTAAATTGTTATGATCATTTTACCCCTATTTTGTCTAAATTAACAAAAAATGTCCAAACGGTAAAGGNCCTTGTCTGCAAACATGTAGGCAAAAATATAGCTGATAAAAACAAATTTCATCATCTTTACAGTCAATCAAATTATTCAATAATGTAGCAATGAAAATATTTTCCTAATATCTTTACCAGATTTACTACGCTATCTGTGCAGTGGTAATTTTAACATGTTTAGTGAAAAACTACCCACAAACTCTTTTAACAGCAGAAATTTGCATCCTGTCCGAAGCACAATGAATTTGTTGATTAAAGCATTATACATTATACAATGAGAAGACAATACTGTTGAAGTATCACAAATTGGAACTGTGAGTCTTGAATCTAAATATCTAATGGAGGAACAAAACAAAATCCACAAGAAGAATGCATGGGAATTCGAAGCAGATACGAATTAATATTTCTAATTCTCTTCGTACGATGCAATGACATTTCACTACTGACTCTTAAATAGTCTGTCTTGGAAGTGTAGCTTCATACATATAAATTGCCTTCTATTTTTACCAATTTAAAATATTGTACAGCATCGATTTGACATTTCATGGCTACTGTCATTGTTTAAAAAATCGGACCATTCCTTAACCCGTCAAAGGACCAGTTCTCGAATGATCGGTATACAATAGACACATCTCTGAATAATTTTTCAGTCCTTATAAGTTTAAAAACATGTAAATATACTCCTAAAATTAACACGTCCCTGTATGCATGAAATAACTTATAATTTTTATTATTAATTATTTTTTTCTCTCTCCCCCATCACTTTCACCTTTCTCCTTTTTTCTCTTCCCCTATCAATTTCTTCTTCTTCTTTTTTTTTTTTTTTTTAAGCTCCCATCACTTTCTTCTTTCTTCTATCCCCTTTCCCCTCTTTCTCCTTAACTTTTTTTTCTCCTCTTTCTTCTTCCTTCCTCTTTCTCAGTTTCTTTTCGTCTCCTCTTCTCCTTCTTCTAATCTTCTTCCTTCCTCTATTCTTCTTCGTCTCCTCTTCTCTTTCTTCTTCCTTCCCCTCCCCTTACTTCTTCTTCTTTACATGGTAGATTTTAGAGTAAGTAAAAAAGGATAGAAGATAAAAATAAAAGATACAATCTGGTCTTTTGAGATGAAAATGATATTGAAATAAAATGAAGAATGACTGCTGACACAATGAAATAGAGAATGAAATAGTGCTGTAAATCTGATTTAAGAATTAGGAATCAGATTACCCCAAAATAGTGAACTGTTTTAAAATCTAGACCGATCAGACCAACGGTTTTGTACTGTTCCTCCGATCTATTACCGATCTAAAGCAGGTTTTATGACTTTTCTAGTTTTCATGTTAACTCGAACCGTAATTAAGGCCAAGTCCCGATCGAATCGGCCAGTCCAGTCCGGATTTTAAAGCAGAGGCTACTACTTGGTTAGATTAATTTATCAAATGCAAACGATGAAATCAATCAATTAAATCATGACTTGTTCGGCTAGCACCAAAGAAACAACAGAAATTTGATCTAATTGCCCTCACAATTTCGTATAATTCCATGCATGTATAAACAGCTTAACCATGCACATACATTAAACCTAACTAAAAAACATATAATTCATATCATATACAAACAATCAAATATTTACACCTGCTCAAATCATGAAATGTAGCTATAGAAATTCCGAGACCCTTTGATGGTAAAAGAACAAGAGGAGGATCTAACATGATCTCTTGAGTTTGAGTCCTCATAGCTACTAATTGGGGTAACCATTAGAACTCTTACCCGACCGATAGTTCTAGAGCCTCCAGAGATTAATTAAAGTACACGCAAGCTGATCCGGACACCCCCAATATATATATATATATATATATATATATAAACAAAAAACAAAACCTAGTTTCCTAATATCTATACCATCAATTCCTACTACTTCTGAACAGTTATTATAATACTAACATATTTACTCTAATTTTGAAATTTTGGTGGTTTTTCAAGGAGTTTCGGCCACGTGAAGATTGAATGGTTTGATATCTCTACATCGCATGTAGCTCAAAAACTGTCCGGGCAACTCTTCCAAAAGTGCTTGAACAACAGAAATTTGTCCTCCTGTCAAAACACAATCAAGTTGTTACTTAAAGCATTATACATTATACAATGAGAATATGATTTTGGACCAAAAAGCTTTCGCTACAATATTCACGTTTGAAAAGCGTTTAATAAGTTCTTTTGTTAATGGAATATTAGTGTTAATATTGAAATCATCGCAGCAAGACAGGTGAATATATTTGCACTCACTTTGAACTTCTCGCATTGGAACAAATTGTACGATGTCTCGCGTAGCTACCCGACCTGTAGAGCTTTCTAACCGATGACCCTTATCAGCATCAAGAATCTAAAAATTTGTAATGATTTAGACCATCTAAAAGTAAGGTAATAGAAGGTGCAATATGCTAATAAAGGAAAATTTCAGAAAGATTGAATTTAGAAAAACAATGGTATACCTCCATTTGTGTAAAATCTGCACGTCCCACTCCAACGATAAGAATTGAAAGGGGAAGATCAGATGCTCTCACCAAAGCATCTTTGGTTTCTTGAAGATCTGTCACAACTCCATCCTAGAAAAGGTTCCATATTGATTAATCACAAAGATGGAATTCTGAATGAAGAAAAAGGTAACTGTGAGAAGTTATAATTCTATTTACCGTTATAATGAGCAAGACAAAATACTTGCTTCTGTCACCTGAGGTGGACTGACCAGCAATTTGTGCAGCCACGTTTATCACCTGACCGAATAAAGTGGGTCCTGCCAGAGAAACATTGTGGAGAGCATTCCCGTAAGCAGCCATGATGCCTTCAACTCCTTCAACCTGTTAGATAAGAAAATCAACTGTTATTGAAATGGAGAAAGAAAAATTCAGGTGTAAGTCACTTTGGACAGATCCACTCATGAGGTTTTCAAGGAATATAAGCCCATATGGAAGGGGGTGCAATAATAAGAGAATCCTGTAAAATAAGCAACACTAACTGGAACATGGATCCTCTTCATATTATTCTCAATAAAATGATAATAATGTTCACTATACCTTAACCGTAGTAACAAAATTAAAGAATAGATAAAGCTGCTACGTAAAACCGAAGTAGATGTTGTTTATCTGAATTGATGAGCACTTACTTTTCTCACTTCTGAGTAGATAAGCAAATCAAAGATGGAGACACAGAATGAACAAACAAATGCCCAAGGACCAGGTAAAGAAGTGACATCAGAAAAGTAATTTCTTTTTTCTCATTATTGACATTGACTTGTTTGAAAATTAAATAATAAGCAAAATTTTCTGTCTGGTAGAGAAAAACATGAAGGTTTGCTAACCAAATCAACAACTTGAAAGAGATATCATAGCAAAAAGCTAAAAACTCTAGCAACCTCTTACCTCAAAGTCACTGGCACTTCCATTCAGGTTAAAACAATGTGATATAGTACCATCAACTGTTCTCCCTCCAAATCCCCAAGCAGGAAAGCGTCTGTCAGAATCATAAAATTGTATGACCTCCCCTACTTCCATTATAGCCTGCAAAAGATTTTGTTAAAAACCAATTAGCCAATTCACTAGCCAATGATGTCTTCTTTCAAATTTTTATACAAACTAAAAAATTTTGAAAAATGGCTTGCATTCAATTTCAGCTAAATTTTGAATACTAGCTTAGTATAGTTGACAAGCCTGCTGTGGTTTTACAAGGGGTTTGTCGGGAACAAATTCCACTCAAATAAAGGCTGTGGAAGAGTGGGGATAATATGAATAAAAGGTGGAAGAAAAAAAAAAATCAACTTGGACAGTTGAAGTTGAAAAAGAATTTGAAGTCAGAGACATTTTTAAGGGGCAGCTTTTATACCAATGATTATTTGGTAACTTACAAGCATACTTAAGGGTGTTTTACTAAGTGATACTGTAATCTCCTGAGTTCACACCATAATCTTACCTGCTGGTAAGAATTCAATCGGCCTGAAGGGTCAATGTAGTGCAAAGAGTCTGGATTTCGAGGATTTCCATTTGAAGCTAGATGATTATGTATTAAAAGCATAAACCGGTAAAAAAGAAAAAAAGTTCAAAACCAAATAAATTATATAACATACGGTCAATAGAATATAATATATGTTCTTACTAGAATGTCAAGGTTTATTTACCTGTAAAGTCAACTGCAACCATAAACTTTAGCTCAAAGCCACTAGAAATATAATCCAGAAAACTATATTGTTCTTTCTCAATAAACTTATCAATAAACAACTGACTTTTGAGAACCTACAAGGCAAAAGTGATGTCAAACAAAAATAT